ACGGCGGCTGACGTTCACGCAGCCACGGTGGGATGAATCTCAGTGTCCCCGGCTCAGCCCCGCAGCTCGCTCTGGAGGTCACTTTGAATTGCCAGAGACGACAAACAGTCGCATCGGAAGGACATCTAACCCGAGCCAGTCAGCTCTTGTTTTGGCGCTGGTGTTTCCGAATTTGTAATAGACTGTCTACCTCTTCCTTCCCCCAAACAGGTCGTAACAAACAGGGATACACAAGAAACCCTGCTCTGCATGGCGTGTGTATTCGAAGTGTCGAACAGCGAACACGGAGCACAGCATCATATCTACAGGCTTGTAAAGGACTGAGCAGTTATTTATATATACATTCATTTCACTTCTTTATCAAAACACAGACTGTAAACCTCAACACTAAGTGGCAGTGCCTCTGGCCCAACTTTCACCCACGTTTTTCTAAAGCCTGTTTTAGTGAAGTCATTTTTAATGTGTTCATATAGAATTGTAGCTGTGAAATTCTGGTACAGTTGTAAAAATTATTTCTAAAACTAAGTGTTCTTCAAATTTGTAAACCACAGTTCTTTGGGAAGACTGTATTTAAGAACCTAATGCCTCTGTCTGTGGAGGCCTATTTTTAATTCTGATAGAAAAAAGTATGACAGAGCATTTGCCATGGGAAAAAACTGACAGCATTTATAAGAATTTATTTTGGGTTTTTTTCCAACATGAAATACTTGTTTTACAATGCAAGTGAAATTGAAATGAATCTTTAGCTATAACTGTAAATGAGTACACGAAGTTAATAATCTTTATAGAATTATCTTTGTAACTGATTAGGGTGGAAGATATGGACGAATGTAATTCACTAAATTATTTTTTAAAATGAAACGTTTTTCTGTTTGAAACCAAATGAAAAATATAGCCTTAAGAAATGCCTGATAGAAACAGACAGGTCCTAAAATTAGGCAAATTTTGTATTTTTTTCTCAATGCTAAAACTAATCTTCTAATCCATTAAACCTTCAAACAGGTATCACAGAGAAAGAGTCACCCCCTACCCCTAACATATCTAGTGTATTTTAAAAGAGTATAAAGTTGTATTGTACTAATATGAAAATTTGATTATTTAATGAAAAAGATGGCTCATTTTGCAATAAGTAGGTAAATACTGAAGATTTAGACTCGCATTATATGTAGTCTTGTGTGTGCAGTTATATTTTATATGGACAGCGATGTTTTCTAGTAAGTTGAGTGAAAAACTTGCAACTCTGAAATTGAGATGAACGGAAGCAACTGACGTTGCGAGAGCCTCGAGTCTTTCGCAGACCGAAAGTAAAACACTAACGTGTTTGAAAGAAGAATCTGTACACCTCTGAAAGGATCAACAGCTTTAATATCTATGAGACGCTAGAAAATCACAACCAACATTAGGCAAAGAAGATTGGAGATTTTTTTTTCTCCTTTTCCTCTTTATCATGGTGCTCTTACACCTCCCCCAGTTGTCTCTCCAGTTCTGACTGGTGAAGACCCTATATGAAACACACGTACGTACCAGGTGGGGTCTGATGTCCTTTTGCATCCAGGTGTGGTAGCATTCATCCTTCTGACGTATTCAGGGAAGACTCCAGGATGTGAAGTACGGCTGGAGACGTTTTAGTACTGCAAGGCTTCAAACCATGGCCGCGGGCGTGAGCGGTGTCTGAGGTACGCACACGCGAGAGAAGTCTCCTTCCCCCTGGCTACCCCGGAGCGCGTTGCTCAGTTTCTTTGCCCCTGCAGCAGTTGTTGCGGCCGGCACTGGGGTCTCACGCAAAACTTCTGTCTGAAAGGCTGAGGGCTGCCCGGCCAAGCACAGGCCTCCTTGAAGACCAGTCGTGCAGTAGACCGCCGAGAGCGTCCTCGGGAAGGCCTTGTGCAGGCCTGAATCAAAGATAACATTTTGCAGGCCCCTCCTCCCTGCCCCTTACCAGTGTGGGCTCGTGCACAGTTTAAGTCTAGAATTTACTCCCAGACACAGTGCTGTAGTCTTCAAAAAAACCAGTCTTAACTTTGGGGTATTGTATTTCTGTGTAGTGCCCTCTGTTAGAATTGCCCGTTGTTGAACGACCCAGACCAGAATCTAACCCAGACAAGGCCGCGGGTCGCTGTACGTCCGCGTCAGACCAGCTTCGTCCTTCACTCTGGTGAGGTCTCGGGTTGGAGGACGATAGGAACGTCACCGCGGAGCAGGGCGACTCCTTAAACCCCTTAGCCTGCCTCCGCGCTACCGCTAGTAGGTGGATGATTGCCGCGGTGTCTAGCTGTTACCTGCTTGTGGATATTAGGGCTGGTGATCTTTCGGGTTATACTCCGTGAACCAAACAGAGAAACATGTCCATGGTAAGGTCTCTTTTAACGCTCGTTTTTAACACTAACTGTCACGTCAGGAAAAGCACTGCATTGTAACAGCCTAATGGTAGCCCTTTACTCTAAGCACTTGGTGTTACAAGTCAAAAACTACTTTTTTTGTTATATTTTGTTCTAAAGTTGTCTTTTATTTAGGGTTTGAATTGTGGTTTCGGTGATTTTTTTTTTTAATAACAAGCAACTCTCTGAGGCATATCAAGCACGTAAGTCGATTTGCAAATCCAGGTACAGTTTTTGTAATGGAATATGGCACCCGACGTATGCCGTCACTGTAGGGTATAAAGTCACAGTGTTTATTGGTGTTCACATATGTCATATTGGGGAAACTGCTTCCATCGTCCTTTCTTTACACTTCTGTAAATGATCCATACCCTGTATATGTTAATTCTTAAAAGCCTTAATCCTTCAGCTGTTCAGTGTGGGGTGTGTAGTCCAACAGGCTGCCTGTAAACTGTGAGCTCTTTTGTAAGCTGGAAGTACTTATCTTGTTACTGTTACTTTTTTTAGGAACCTTTTAATTGAGAGCTGCCAAAGCATTACAATATGCAGTGCCTTAGCATTATATTAGAAGTACCTTTAGCCTCTTAACATAAATTTTATATATTGTTTTATTAATTGGTTCCATTTTTTAAAATATCTGTATTTTTTCCCACAGAAACGCTCTGACTGCTTGGTCTAAACCCACCTTCTGTACAAGTCAGTCCCGTTACTACGCAGTTAAATGTCTATACCAAAAGGAAAGGTTACAGATGCTTAGTTCTCCGTGAAAAGTGAATTGTATTAATAAATGCTGCCTTCTTAAATTTCATGACCAAATAATTAATTGTGACTCTTCTGCACTCTAGCATAAAAGTGCCTTTGGTTTGAAATTCCAGCTTAGAAAAGTGCTGCCATAATAATGACAATTTGTAGAGAGACCAAAAATATTTAGTTATCACCGTAATGCCTTTGGTTTACTGGAATAAGTTGAATCTACAGGCCTCCATTCGCAAAAGAGCACCATTTGTAGCAAAGGAACTTTGCTAATGATCAACCTGCTGAAGAATAACCTACTGTTTGCCATTTCTGACAGCACTGCAAACCAGCAACTGATTTGTCTGTGATACAAAAAGGAAAAGGATTCACGTTCATCTTCTCTTCACCCAGCCGTGCATCTGCGTAACGAGATCCGTGTACTGCAGCATTTCAGGCAGTGGACAAATGTGACTTTAATAATATTTTGGTATCTGTGAAGATTTTTTTGTTTAGACAGAAGATTTTGTTTACAAAGTTGTGCATGCTGAAAGGTGGCTGCATAAACCAAGATGAAAATGGAAAACAGACAATAGCTAGGGTAAATGCAATTGTGTGTTTCTGAGCGTCGAAATGTCGAGTGTGAGCGTGGTGGATGAAGGTGCTGATAGAGAAACTCTGGCCAGCACGATTCAAAACACAGGGTGGTTTGGTTTTGGTTTTCTCCCAGGTGATGTCTTGGAAAAAAAAAAAAAAAACAACCCAACAGCTCCTCTTAGTAATGTGTCTGCATTTGATACCTTCTGTGAACGGGGGCCGTGCTGTACACTGCAACTGATGGGAAGAGGAGCGAGATTTTAAGAAAACGATGTTATAAAGAACAAATATCAGCAAAACCAAAAGCTGTCAGAGGGATTATATAGTTGTGAATACAATTTTAACTTGATTTTTAAAGTATTTGATGAAAACGAAGATTAACTTTTTATATATAGAAATATTGTGACACTGTGTGGTAAATATTGTGATAATTCAAGCTCCCTGTCTCTCAAATATTATTTTTGTTATTCCTTCAAGGTCTAAATCTCACTTACCTCTGTAGGACAAGTGATCCTGTTGACTTCACTGAGACCGAGGTAGGGCAAAGACACTTTGGCCCCACAAGTAGAGCGTATCTTTTCGGTTGTCACCAAACGTTTCAGCTGTGCTAGTCAGCGTGTGCGACAGACTACGCTTCTGTCTCATTCCAATGTTTTTAAAGCAGAATGGTACCGTCTGGGGCTGTTAAAAATTGCTACTAACAAATGTCGTTTCACTTACTTGAATTCCAACATTATTGTATTTAGGTACTGCACCACTATTTTGAAGGAATTGCAGATTTAATGCCTGTTTCTCACTTTCCCTTTCCACCGCCGCTGCAGCGTGTTACGTTTGGCAGTAGCTTCTGCCGCTGAACCTCCACGGTCTAGGCCATTTGGAATAATGAAGGGTGTATATTGATGTTGAGTGTGAGTAACTGGCCCGTCGGGGGCAGATACCACATTTGACGTATTAAGCCGTATCTATTTATTTTTCCACTGCGAGCCCTGGGGCGGACTGGCTTTCTGAAGCAGGTCCCCGCAAAGCTTTCCCGGCTCACTCCCACCCAGAACCCTCTTGTTTGCCCTTTACTCGACCCCTACTGATACACGTACCCGGTCAGGCGGGAGGTGTGTGTAACAGAGTCCAGTTCTGTACTTTTCTCAGGATGATCTCTTTTCCCTCTCTTTCATAACGAGATGTTTAGCCCCCTAAAAAAGATAGAGGCTGGATAAGTCAGAGTACAAAAAACACTTCGGACATCTTCATCTTGTAACTTTTCAGGTCATTCTTGCTGAGATCATGTAATTAGTTTTAGTGTGTAAATTAAATCTGAAATGCACTCAGTTGACTAAAAGGAGATGGATCCCTGTTACCTCCTTACAGAATATGTGTTTTTGTTTTGTTTTGTTTTATGGGCCTCTGATTCAGGCTCATGACTGCAGACAAAAAATACAATATGTGCCTGAAAAAAAAAAAAGAGACAAAAGAATTTTATAACATTGAAAACCTGAATAGCCTTTAATTCTTCAGTACGTTTTATGTAAAACAGGTTGGGATTTTGTTTTGTTTTGGGGTTTTTTTGCCATGTGCATTTGTTCACATTTGTAAATGACTTAATGGAATTCTCACTTTATGTTTATTTGTGTAATGTGTATAAAATGGGTTTGTGACTTAAGCATATTCATATATGGTCAGTGGTTACTTTAATATTGTACTGCTGCTGGTAACTTTTGATGTAGAACTCGCCTTTTGATGATAAAGTACCTCTAGGTTAGACAGGGAGGGAAGGCTCTTTGAAAAAAGTGAATGTTCTCCAATGTTTTCTTAACATATTTGCAGAAGCTTTCAAAAGGAGTTTCAGTCAAACCTCTTGGCAGTACAGTATTCTTGTATTTGTTATTGTCTGTGTGTAGGTACTGGTACCTTTTTTTGTTTAAAATGTTTTAAGTGTTGGCTTTAAAGTGAATTTATCTTTAGTATGATAGTAATATGAAAATTATAGGGTTTGTGTGCAGAGAATTTTTTTATAAAGTGCTTTGTAAAAAAAACAAAAATGTATTCTAGCTTTCGCGGTACATATGTGTGATAACTTTAATATCCATGACAGTTAAGTGCAATTATTTCATCACTCTAAAAATGCTATTTTTGTGTCGGTTACTGCAGGTGTTTTCATGTCTTTGCAAAGTGACACATTTTGATGCCTTCTTGAT